ATTGGAAAGAAATAATCGATTCCTATTCTTTAAATTGTATACACGTCAACCTGGTTCAAAATTGCTGGAGAATACTTTAAAATTGCTGGAGTAATTGGCAATGCTGACAAATCAAAGCTGCGCTGGAGTCTCCAGCAGGATGCGAGAGGATTGGCAACTATGCTAATAGTGACTAAAGTTGAACTTTTATAAAATAAATCGATCCCAACCCCGAACCCTTCTCTAACCCTAACAGCTAACCATGACCTTTTGAAAGTTAGAAAAGGTGGGGGGAAAAGTACCCTGGATTCCAAAGCCTTCGACAGTAAATAATAAATTGAAACGTCGCGAAGGCTCTGGTTCAAAGGGGAGATTCTTTGATTAAACCGCGCCAATCACAAAACAGAATTAGTGGTTTTATAACATACTTGCAGGTTCGGTGAGTCCGAGATTGGACGCACCTCGGGTGGCTGGAAGTTTCCCGAACCCACCTCGCGAAGCGAGGGTTTTTATCACATGCCATTTCAGTAAAAAGTACTGAATTGACGCATTTTAGTATATAATTTCTTGTTTGGATAACGAACATTTTAGCCGCCAGCATACTACGCAAACAAACAGACTTAGGCTTAAATTGAAGTTAAAAAATTCTCTACAACATTCCCTTATTCTTGAAAAGAGATAATGAATACATTCTGCGAAAACATTGCCAAGATTTATACAAACCTGCCCGTGCCGAAAAATTTCGGCGGCCATCTTTATTCTCTTCCACTTTGAATACAGAATATTCCATTTTCATCAAACAAAATAAGAAATATATAACAATTTATAACAGCTGGGAAATTTGTTGTCGCTGTGCAGAGAAATTGCTGGCGCACGCGATATTTTACAAAAATTCGAAAATTTGAAAAAACAACACGAGTGAAATTTCAACTGATGATTTTGCATTTTTAAGACGACGATCAAGGAAATTAAATTGTTGGAAAAAACTTCACTAACATCTCAAGTATGGAAAGCATCTACATTACCAGAAATTTAATTGTGGATTGATTCAAAATTCAGGCGATAAAGTTACATAGCTAGGAGTTGGCTTTTGTGCTCTTCGAATATCAGTTTTCATTCGCAGAATACCAGAACTTGTTGGCCTCATGGGTGCCAAAATCGACATAAACGTAAACTGCTAACCAAGAGCTATAAAACAAATAGCTTTTCAAAAAGATAAACTTTATTCAGTCAAAAGGATGAGGGTAAATAAACATGCTACTGCGTGATAGTAATTTCGAAGCAACTTTGTCACATATATTTTAAAAAGTGTGATAATGAATCAAATTTTACTTTCTGCAATCCCAAAAAGGTATGAAAATTATTAAAATATTCAAGGTTTCCGTGTTTATAAATTTTTCTTTTGAGAAAAGTAAAAATTTTCCAGATAAAAAAGCATAGTTTCTGCAGTAAACTGTTTTCTGATAGAGAAGGTCCTGGGGGAGGGAGTGTAGAAGCGTGCGCGGATAGCAAAAAACCTTGACGTTTCCTCCAAAAAATTAATACCAAATTTTGTTTTGCCTTTGTTTGATATGTAATTTAAACAAGTTTTTTTACATCTAAAAATTGCCCCTAGTGGTCAAAACTTGGATTATGTTCGCAGTATTGGCCATTTGCTTACTTTTGGGGATCAAAGTTTGAGGTCCAATTATTTTTAAAGTTTGCAAACTACCCAGCTAATTCTTGGCTGTTGTTTGCAGCCTTGTATGCTGATTAAAATTTAGTTTAGTCCACAATAGTAGATCCTTTCAATGAAGGGAAATTCAAATTAACAATGAATTTTGTTGAAAAATTGCCCCTTTGGGTCCAATTTCGCTTTGAATTGCGTGCGTTTACTGCTCTTGTATGAAGCAAGAGTTCGAAAACATTCCGAAATCCGAAGTACTGTAAAATGTAATGAAATCGACAACTTGACCTTGCCCTTGAGACCTTGTACTGCCTCAGCAGTGAAATGTTTTTTGACAACAATAATTTACCAGTGTTTCTTGAATATTTTCCTTGTTTAACTAGTAGAACCGAACGTACAAGTGCATCAGAAGACTAAGCGAGAGTTTTGTGTAGAAATGCTCTGTTTACGGGAAGTTATTTTGCATTCGCAAGCGTCAACAAAACTGCCGCATCAAGTTCACAGTTTGATTATCATAGCGATAGATAAAAGCTTTGAAAATTCAATTGAAAACATTTTAAACTACCCGTATTTGTATAGAATATATGTTAGTTGTATTAACATTGAACTTCTTTCTGTTTGAACCCAAATTTGTACTTGTTTTGCGTTTGACAAGGCTGTCAAGCTCGCGACGATTGGCTTTTATACCTTAGTCAGGCTTGACTACAGATTTAGCGTGTCACAGTGTCTTCTTGTTTGTGTCAAGATTATAATATTCTATTGCTGTTCAAACGAGATATTATATACACTGGAAACGTAGAGTACATTTTACTTTGTCTTTGTCTCAAGCAAAAAAAGTATAAAGATTAAACAGGCATTCAAAAATATACAACAACCACGAACATCTCGTAATATTTCTTCGGGGAAATCTTCAAGTTTCAATCAGAGAGTTTCAATCGAAATCTGGCGCATGCGCAACAAATTTCCCAGCTGTTACAATTTATAACAGCTGGGAAATTTGTTGCGCATGCGCCAGATTTCCATTGAAACTTGAAGATTTGCCCGAAGAAATATTACGAGATGTTCGTGGTTGTTGTATATTTTTGAATGCCTGTTTAATCTTTATAATTTTTTTGCTTGAGACAAAGACAAAGACAAAGTAAAATGTACTCTACGTTTCCAGTGTATAGAATATCTCGTTTGAACAGCGATAGAATATTATAATCTTGACACAAACAAGAAGACATTTGACACGCTATAAAATCTGCAGTCATGCCTGAGCTGAGGTATATATAAAAAGTCAATCGTCGCGAGCTTGACAGCCTTGTCAAACAGAAAGAAGTTCAATGTTAATACAACTAACATATATACTATACAAATACGGGTGGTTTAAAATGTTTTCAATTGAATTTTCAAAGCTTTTATCTATCGCTATGATAATCAAACTGTGAAAATGCCACAGTTTTGTTGACGCTTGCGAATCCAAAATAACTTCCCGTAAACAAAGCATTTCTACACAAAACTCTCGCTTAGTCTTCTGATGCACTTGTACGTTCGGTTCTACTCGTTAAACGAGGAAAATATTAAAAAAAACTGGTAAATTATCGTTGTCAAAAAAACATTTCAGTGCCGAGGCAGTACAAGGTCTCAAGGCCAAGGGCAAGGGCAAGTTGTCGATTTCATTACATTTTACAGTACTTCGAATGTTTTCGAACTCTTGCTTCATACAAGAGCAGTAAACGCACGCATTTCAAAGCGACATTAGACGCAAAGGGGCAATTTTTCAACAAAATTTATTGTTAAATTCTGTTTCCTATGTGCCTTGGGAGCAAAAAAATATGATTTTAAATTTGGAGGAATCGGTAACTTTTTTTGCAATTTGGCCTGGTATTGCACCCTACCTATGTAATGACTGTGCTGTAAAGGTAATCAAATATACTATTTTGAATTTCCCTTCATTGAAAGGATCTACTTTTGTGGACTAAACTAAATTTTAATCAGCATACAAGGCTGCAAACAACAGCCAAGAATTAGCTGGGTAGTTGGCAAACTTTAAAAATAATTGGACCAGGTCCTCAAACGTTGATCCCCAAAAGTAAACAAATGGCCAATACTGCGAACATAATCCAAGTTTTGATCACTAGGGGCAATTTTTAGATGTAAAAAAACTTGTTTAAATTTTACATGTCAAGCAAAGGCAAAACAAAATTTGGTATCAATTTTTTTGAGGAAACGTCAAGGTTTTTTGCTATCTGCCCACGCTTCTACACCCTCTCCCCCAGGATCTTCTCTATCAGAAAACAGTTTTCTGCAGAAACTATGCTTTTTTTATCGGGAAAATTTTTACTTTTCTCAAAAAATAACTTTATAAACACGGAAACCTTAAATATTTAAATAATTTTCATACCTTTTTGGGATTGCAAAAAGCAAAATTTGATTCATAATGACACTTTTTAAAATATATGTGACAAAGTTGCTTCGAAATCACTATCACGCAGTAGCATGTTTATTTACCCTCATCCTTTTGATTGAATAAAGTTTATCTTTTTGAGAAGCTATTTGTTTTATAGCTCTTGGTTAACAGTTACGTTTATGTCGATTTTGGCACCCATGAGACCAACAAGATTGATAATCCGCGAATGAAAACTGATATTCGAAGAGCACAAAAGCCAACTCCTAGCTATGTAACTTTATCGCCTGAATTTTGAATCAATCCACAATTAAATTGCTGGTAATGTAGATGCTTTCCATACTTGAGATGTTAGTGAAGTTTTTCCAACAATTTAATTTCCTTGATCGCCGTCTTAAAAATGCAAAATCATAAGTTGAAATTTCACTCGTGTTGTTTTTTCAAATTTTCGAATTTTTGTAAGATATCGCGTGCGCCAGCAATTTCTCTGCACAGCGACAACAAATTTCCCAGATGTTACAATTTATATTTTAATTATTAAATTCATTTCAATATTAAAAACATGCAATTACAGTTTTATAATCTGCAACAATTATAATAAATATTTGATTGAATTTATAAGTTTTTTGAATAAAGTTGTTTCAATAGTCACAAAAAGGCATGCACACAAATACTTAAATTCAAATTGTTGTACCAACAATATATACAATAACAACATCAAGTTTAAAAATGTCATCAATTCAACAAGTGTTCAACTTACAGTTTAAAAAAATATTTTTTAGCTTTTGCAAATGTTTATTGTAATGCCACCCTCAATTTTACAATTAGAAAAGGTTGGATCGATGGGAAGGTTTTTTTTCATCACTTGTCTGCTCAAGAACTGGTGCTTGATGTTTCTGGATGTGGTTTGGGATGACATTTGTACCAAATCTGAATTTTCTGAGGTTGTTTGATTCTCAAATTGGCTTACGGCAACCAAAAGATCTTGGTCGTCCATGTTATCTTCAAAGAATATTGGATCAGAAGAAGCCAGGCTTGTTGAGGGGCTACAATAGTTGCAGAACTTCGGTTAGGTCGACGCTTTGGCTGTATTGTGTTTTCTTGACAGAGGTTTTGTCGCTTGGACAGTGGCATACGACATTCAGATCTGGAAATTACATCGATCTCTTGCAATGAGGGGTTTGGAGTGCGTGAAGAAGGTTGGTAATTGGTTTCTCGAGGATGTTGTTGGTAAACAGTGGAAATTTCATCTTGTTTGGTTAGACAGCTTGAATCACCGGTGAGGGCATAACCAAGTGTGCATCCCATTCGGAGTTTTTCATCTGAAGCCACTTTTTGATAGATAGCCAAACTTGCACCACTTCGATGACCGGTTATGGACATTATTTGCTTGTCGTTGTAGTTGTTATACGCTTCAATGTTGTTATCCCAGAAGCTCTTAGGCTATGGTTGGTGCAACCTTTTTGTGTGAATCCACAACTTTTAGCCAATTTTGACATGAAGCTATCAAGAGAATTGTGCCCAACATTGCCGAGACGATACCAAACCTTTTGACCATCAGTAGGAAATAAGTTGAACTTAGGAGTTTGCCAGAGTTTTTCAGAAGTAGGATGAAGGGCTTCTGTATACATTATGAAGCTTCGTACAGGGCAATGTTTCTTATCAACCATGGAGGACATGTAACCAGTGACAATATCATTTTCATTCGCTTTATGATTCTTTGTTGCTTCGTCTTCAGCTCTTATCACATACTTCATCGCAGTTTTTTCATCGAGTTTGACTGCAAAGGTTGTTTTCGTCATTTTATGCATGTTTTCTGCTCCACGAGGGGCAAAATAGTACCTGATGTCAAACTGGACTTTCTTCTGGAGCTGTCTTGGTCCAATGTCTGGATCTAAGTGTCGACTATGGTATATATCAAACAAGTCTGAAAACAACAAAATGTGGTATTAAATTAATTTAGTATGACGGACACTATGATGGGTTACAATAACTTATTTTTACCTGCTGTGTTAATAGTTTCATGGTTCTTCGTGAAACCTTTTCCTTCTTGCTTCAGCTCTTTGGTCACCTCTTCGTATGCTTTAATACTCGAGGTGAAAGCTATACATTCTCTCCTTGTAATGTCAAATTTATGTCCGAAACTTTTCAGCGCTCTGTTTAGACTGTAGCGAATTGTTTGAAGGCTTCCTACTTTGTATTTGTGTCCATCTTTAGTCCTCGCAGCGAACTAGAATTTTGCAAGGTGCTTGTTGAGTTTTTCTTCGCTGAATTCGTAGAAGTTGTCTTCCTCTCCAATTTGAATTAAATATTCCTTGAATATGCCTTCTGCTTTTTTTTTCATTTTTAGTTGTATTGTTGTTTTTAAGGCTCTCTTGTCTTATTTTCAAATCTTCGTCAGAAATTTGTTGAAATCGCGCCATATTAAAATGGCCGCCAGCAAAACATCGATCTCGAACCCACCTCCTAAACATACGTCAGCAGGTGGGTTCAAGATTGAACGCACCTCCTCTTAGCCAATAGGAAAGCCGCTAATACGCTAGGTATGAGATAGTAGTACAGATTCTGTACTAAAACCACTAATTCTGTTTTGTGATTGGCGCGGTTTAATCAAAGAATCTCCCCTTTGAACCAGAGCCTTCGCGACGTTTCAATATATGATTTACTGTCGAAGGCTCTGGAATCCAGGGTAGGGGAAAAGTAAAAAAAAGACAAAACACAACCTGACCCGGACTGTGTTTCACTTTCCGCACACAGCGCCTTTACCGTATATATACGCTAAGAGCAAGCTCGGTAAAAGCTAGCGCAAACAAATGTTTTTATATTTAACTATAGTCACTATATAGCCGACAATTTACTCTATATCCGGCTGTACTGACACTTTGTATGATATGACAAGGAATGTTCAGATTGCAGTCTCTTCTCTACTACAATCAACTGTCAGAAAGCCACCATTTTTATAATAAAAACAGACAGAATAAGAACTATTAATAGGAAATGGGTACAAAAATTGCTGTGGTAAATACTGTACCCACATTTACTATAATATTATTGTATCATGTATGCTCTATTAAAATTAAAATGCATACAATCTGTAAAGAAATTTTATTAACTTTAACTCAACTTATCAAACAATCCTATAATTCTAAGATGTCCTGTGACTAATGCACCATATAACAAAATTTTAATGTAACGTAATTCTAAATGCTGTAACTATAAATGTACCATATAACACAATTTTAACATCCCATATTGACATATAACCATATTATTAATCATGAATAGACTATCGATATTATTTGTAAAAATGCATGAACGGTCACTCACGAAAAAGCTTTAGATGTTACTTTATGCAATCTTCAAGGATATAACAAAAAGTTTTTTATCAGACAATTTAGCAGTCAGCCAAAGCCAAACAAACAGTTTCTCTTCACCCTGTTACCCTGTAGAAAGCCGCCATTTTGTTTTACGGCCTGTTCGCAGGCCTACAGCCCTAATTAGTCAACCCGAGTGTTTAACGCACACACGCACCCACCCACAAATTCGAAAGCACAGTATCTAGAGCTCCGCGCAGATACAAAATTATAGTTTGTGTACATGCATTTTCAGGAATTGGCTTTTGTTTTTAGTGCTAGTTTAAACAGCAGCTCATATGATCTATAGTTTTTTTTTATAAAGGGCAGTTACTAGATTATATACAGTATAAACAAGCTGTATTGTATCCTTCACAAATATTAACTGTTAGTCCGGTTTTGTGGCATTTTTTGTGTGGTTGTGCACTACATATTTTCAGTCGGCATCGAGCCATCATCGACTTGTGCATACTGGTATACCCAAATTTGCATGATTTATACTTATAGCATTCTTACATTTAATTCTTGCTCTTATATAAAAGAGTAATTTTAATCCACAATCGCTAATCTTCGCATTACCATGACAACATGACGTCACCATATATACGGCTTATATCAACCAAAAAAGCCGTTATAATAACCACGGTGACCTACCTTTTTTATTGCAGAAAATAAATTGTTATGAAGTTTTGAACCTTTTTTGAAAGTTATTTGAAAATCGCCAGTGTAGTTTTCGAGAAACAGAATTCCAGCCTTTAAGATTGCATTTTAGCCTTTGAAAAGGCTGAAATTCAGTTTCTCGAAAACTACACTGGCGATAAATTAGTACTTTTTATATTCAAATTAATTAAATAGGTTTTAGTTTAAAACACTGACATATATTGGAAACTGCAGGGAGCCTCCCTAAGATAATTTGATATTTGTAAAATGCACAGTTTCGTGCCACCTACAGAAGATTATACATTTTCAAAATAGTATCATGAAATACAAATTGCAGGCTTATTCAAAACATCATAAATATGCAACAAATAGAGCATGTAAAACAATGGATCAAAATACCATTTTGCTCACGATTTAAATGAAACGAAAGTTGATTACTTTATACAACAAGGCTTTAGAGACCTTTACATACTTGTGCCCAAAATATAACACATTGTACCGAACAATTTTTGTAGGAAATTTGCTCGAGTGTGTGAAGTTTAATGAACTGAGAAATATTTTACCTGTAGTCGCGGCTTCAAATATCGTCTTTGCCGATGTTTTTCGAGGAGAGAATATAATGTGTACGACTTGCACGCATTTGAACCAGTGGTCAAAGGTCCAAAAAATATGAAAAAATCAGAAACTACGAGAATATACTGCAAAGACTTCAACAAGCTAAAATATTTTAATAAGAACCAGGGAGGTGTGAAAGTCGTACACAGCTAAAAACAATCAGGCTGTTGCAATATTGATGAAAACAGGATTGAACAATGTTGTGCGGCCCACTTTGTTCACTGTTGTCAACAATATTGAACAATAATATTGTTACACCTGATTCAGGCTCAACAATATTGTTCGATATTGTTGACAAGTGTGAACAATGTGGGCCGCACAACATTGTTCGATCCTGTTAAACAGAAGGCTCCTAATTAGCGGGTTCAAAATTGAGCCTGGTCAGTGGTAATTACCATGAGCTGGAAGAACCATATAACGTCATTCTGGCGCAACCTCGCAAGCCAGGGTCTTTTACCTGCGCTCGGGCTCTGGCGAAGACCCTGGTTCCCTCTGGTCACGTAAACCCCCAGATTTTAGGGGTAATTCGAATTGGCGCCTCTTTGCCACTTAGGGAGGAGTGGTAGTGGGAATTCAAGAGCGAAAACGAAAAAATCTATAACTATGCCTATGGAAAATACGGCCATTTACGCTCTGTATTTTGGGTTTTGTCGGTTTTTATGTTATCTTTTATGAAATATGTCATCGCTTGAAAGCTTTTTACACCTACTTGATATAATTTGCATGGCTGGAGGTCTGTTTTACACCTGGAAGTGGAGCCATTATTTATCAACGCAAAGAAAATAAAGTTCGAATGCACACTTATACCACACCTGCACCCGCACTGCACCCACAAAGTTGAAAATGAAAAAGGCAAGGGGTGCACTTGCACCCGCTGCACCCGTGATTCCGGCATCCCTGCTGTTTTCGCACATATGCCATGTTGACCGCCATGGTCATTTTACCCTAAAACAGTTGAGATTACCTGTCCTAAATGAATCGCATACAAACTCATATACAGGTCCTAGACTACAGTATATACACGCCAAAGGACAGCTTTTCTAAGCAAATAAGTGCTTGGGCTTCAAAATAGTGTTTGCATACAAAATATTTATAATAGAAAACTGCGAACAAATAAGAAAAATAATGTATTTTGAATGTTTTTGCATATTACAGTTGAAGTCACTTCTCGTAGCTTTTCTACAGTCACTCCTCGGCGGGCCTTGCAAACACAACATTTAACCTGAAGTTGGAAATTACAACATATCACATTTCAACCACCCTCCCCTAGGACCTCTTGTTGTCCTAATTTTTAGGAGGTCACGTGACCAGAGGGAACCAGGGTCTTCGCCGGAGCCCGAGCGCAAGTAAAAGACCCTGCAGACTTGCGAGGTTGATTCTGGCGTCAGCTAAGGCCAAAATCCGCCATGCTTTTGGCGACACTTTTTCATGCCGAGCAGGTCCTCTAGTATTATCCCCAATGCGAGGGTGCTAATTCCGCACGGCTAATTATACCCGGGGAAGTGAAAACATAGCGAACATAGAGATTATCCCCGAGCCGTAATAGTACCCTCGCCCCGGGCTTACGTAAGCCTGAAGTTCATTACGAAGTCTGAAGTTCATCAAATGTCGCGGGCGCATGGTGTATGGGTGGTCATCTCACTTATCTCAAAATATGGCCGTTTGCCAGGAGTAAAGATGAGAAAAATATAAAAAATACATGTAAGAAAGCTTGGAAAATCGTTTCACATAACAAATTGTAAAACTTTTTTTCAATTTTTAAACGTTAACATTAATAAGAATTGATTTAGTACGAGAAATTCTAAAATATAGCCTAAAGTATAGGGCAAGTTTGTTTCAATTGTTTATGTATTCCTTTGCATTATTATAGACATTGTTCTTGTTGTTCAAGTCTTTCATATGCATTGTATGCGAAAGTTTCTTAGTTAAATTAACTTTTGTAAAAGTTCATGATAAAAAGGAAAGCAAATTATTTCATTAGCGTCCTGTACGAATTAAATTTGTTTCATTTCAAAGTGCGAGTAATAAGTTGAAGCTCAAGTTGAAGAGTTTAATATCGGCAATGTATATTTCATATTATTAGCACTGATGAAGATCCTGGCTTACGGATCGAAATTAAAGCTTGCAGTAATAAATTTACGTGGTGTTTCCACAAACAAAACTAGTATATGTTTTATCGCCATGCTAACATACAAAGAATTAATTATCGTGTTGCCATTACTAACATGACGTGATGACGTGGCAACGCGAGCCTGCGTTCAGTGTTGGCGTAACTACGAATACTTCATGTTGAAACAATGTTTGGGGAATATAGGCACAGAATAATTAAGACACACAGAAGGTCGACTCGAGTAACCGCTGCCACGCCATGATCATCATCAAAATGCTGACGCCATATGGTCCTAGCCAGTGCGCCTTTGAGAGGCATTACCCCCTGGCCGTCCGCCATTTTGAATATTATCAGGGGGACTGAATGCCTCTCAAACGCGCACTGGCTAGGACAATGGCGTCAGCATTTGATGACGAATTACCGGTTGCGCCAACATCATAGGAAAATCGTAGGTAAAACCAAGAAGTCGGCCTTTGATATCTTGTGATATAGGCGAGGGGTTGCTGCATGCATGTATTTCTGGTCAATAACACTTATAGCGTTATTTATAATCTCTATGATGGCGAAGTGCAAGTTCACTGGTGCAAAGCAGTACAAAGTTGTCCATTTATCACTTATTTACTGAGACCGAGGGAAACAGTGTGTTTTGTGGACCCGAGACCGCCGTTGCCGACAACAACGGCGGTCGAGGGGCCACAAAACACACTGCTTTACCAAGGTTTCAGTAAATAAGTGTTTTATAATATAGTATATAAGTGTCAAAGTATGAATAATTCACCGGTTATTGTAATGAACTTAATTTGAAACCAAAACTGGATAAATGGAACGCCGTAAATGTTTAGTAAAAAGTTTAAAAAATGTCTTTGGAACTTCATGGTTGACACGCATGCGTATTGCACCCATTTTATTATTGACCGGTCAATAAATGATTGATTTCGGACCGGTCGCCGAACATGACGTTTTGTGGACCGGCACGTGACACGGTTTTGACCAATCGGCAAACAGAAAAATTGAACTTTGACACTAACTACTATAACAATTTTGTTTATGGCATGGACGGTTTTCGACATTATGCGCAAGCTCTGTCTAAGTGATTGTTTTTCATTTTCAAAGGACGTATTTTACTGTTTTACAGCAATTTTTTGTTTTATATTTAGTCACTCATCGAATTGCCACCTGCAAGAATTTGAACAACATTGCATAAGCAGGGACATTAATTAATTATTTTTTGTTTCATTTTCAGAACAGCATGTACTTCCTAAAGATATTGCTAGAACTGGATCCACTGGCGGTAAGCATCTATAACATTTCCTGTTTTTGTACTGTACGAAAGTGTCTATAATACTTTCTATACTGCACAAATTCCTTGCAAGAGATGCACGTTTTACCCAGAAGACTGCTGGTTGCTGGAAGTAACCTCGCGTTCTTGAATAACTGACGAACGGCAACTGCCAACCGTGCACTCGAAACAAAACCGCTAATTGCCCGACAGAAATCGCTAACCTCATGAGCCGTATCGCTGAACGGTGCCCAACATCAGAATGTCGTGCGAACTACAGCCACCAAACGATCGTATCGCAATGTTGAATTCAACAGATTTTATCACGCTTTTTGAGGCGACTTGACGGTATCATTCTATAAATACTAGAAATGAAACAGGACCTCTTTTAATACCATAGACTTGACTTGGGGGACTTGTTCCCCAGCCCTGATTTTGGCCCCTCCAGTGAACTATGTTGTCCCCCCCAGTGGAGGTCCCTTCTGTATAAAATATAATAAAAAAGGAAGAATAACTTAGTTAGTTAAGAATAACTTAGTTAAGAGTATTTTAGTATTTCCGTAACCAAATCGTTGTCTGGTGGATGAAATATATAAAAAATTCCAGCACCTAAAATTAAAAATAAATTTCTGGGCCAGACAAGCTCCCACTTTTCCCGTTCCCCACCACCTAGTTGGGTCTCTTTCTCTTGATGGCCCCTCCACTGGCAGATTCTTAAAAGAGGCCCTGAAATGAAATCAAACGAGCATATCAAAGTTAGTAAGTGCAAAACATTTGAAGGCCCTGGTGCTATTCTTAAAAACAAATTCTTTTTTAATATATATGACGATTTTCATGGGATCGAGGTTTGATAGGCATCGTTCAGTGGAAATTTCCCATACATTCCCTATTAATTTTTTTGTTTTTAGAAAGGACGCTAGTGCCACAGTTTTTAAAATATAGTCACCAATTAAATTTTGTTTAGTTATCTATAGAGTGCGAACATCAAATTGAAATTTACTTAAAACGTTATGAAAGTCCGTTACACCCAACCGCAACGTATCTATGTGTGCATGGTCTGTTTCAACGACGCAAACCTATATGCTGCACATGTAGGTTGTGTGGGGCGTGTAAGCTGTATAGGGCATGTAGTTCTGGGTGGACTTGTGTAGGCAGTGTAGGCCCCACATCAGGTTTGTTTTACACAAGGATTCCAATAAGTTCGTCTGAAGTGGTGGGGTATTCTATACCCTGTTGTTACTCCTTCGATCGTATTATTTTCGATCATATTAACTCATAGTCAAATTTAGTTTTGTATTATGTTTGTGATCTTGTATTAATATACTTTGTTTTGTTATACAGTTTATCACAATATTGATGTTTTTAGTATGGATCAGCAGTGCAAAATACTACTGGCCTTTATCCGCTATTAGCAACAACACTGTTCTTGGTACAGTGCTTGGTAAAGTAAATGGTACAGTAGCACTAACATCAGGAGTGAGAGAAAAGTCAAACACAGCATTACAATTTTCTGGTGAAGGATCATACATTGATCTTGGAAAATTTGAAAACAAGTGTTTTATATCCCCTGATAATTGCTCGAATGGTTTCACTTTATCATTTATGGCTTTGTTTGACCAGGATGCAGTCAGTTGGTCAAAACGAGTAAATATTTTAGACTCGGTAACAGATGAAACGAACTTTCTTGGGCTTGGTGTTTACATCCAAAGTCACCATCTTTGGTTTGTTGTTTCCAAAACATCTAAATATGTGAAGACCAACGTAGCGATTACTGGCGATAAAACATGGCGTCATTATGTGATGAGATGGAACGGATCAGATATTCATATTTCCGTAAATGGTCAACCAATATTTACAAAAAGGTAACATTTACATGAAGGTATCTTGAATTAAAACAGGAATTCTTTACTTGCTTTTTAAAAGCCGTTAAACATAGGAAAAATAGAGTAAAAACTATATGATAGGTCAAATACGGCCACAACGAATAAAAATATCTTAATATAAGGTCCTTGCCAAGGAATAACTGGCTAAATTTTATAACTTAATTGGGAATCATACCTTCGGAATTATACCTAGAATATACCTTTTTTTAGACTGGTTACCTTGTAATACTATAAACGCCTTCAACTACTTAAAATGACATCGTCTCCGCATCATATAGACAACCCAAACAAGTTTATCTCAAAAATGTTTCAACATGAAGTTTATCAAATTAGCCAACCGATCGATGAATGAACGCCGGCTTGCGTCAAGTGTTAGTCATGGTAACACGATAATCTATTTCCCGTTTCTTAGTTTGCGAAAATGGCAAAAATAATTTTCAAAAACATTAGTACTTATCAATTTCTGAAATATATATTATTGAATTAATGAATTCCGCGTAAGGGCCTAAGGCATACCTACAAGACGGACTTAAAAAATCCACTATCTTGGCTTCAAAAACAAAGCCGGAGTTATCGTTCCTGCAGTTTTTATAGAGCTCACTTCTCTTGACAGTCGCCATATGTTTTAGATCAGTGAGATGACCACTCACTACGCCACTTTTCAATCCGCTAGCTAGCTTTCCTTTTCCCGAGTATAAATAGCCTGAGGATATTCCTTTTCCCAGTATACTCTCGATATGGGCTTCGGCCTATGCGCTCCGCGCGTGGCTCGCGATACGCTGTGTCTGAATCTCCTGACTTAGCGGGGGAGAGGGGAGATAACTTCATTAAAAGCATGTTCCTTGACATAGCTTGGGGTGTCTCTTTTGTAAAGTCACCGTGCATTGTGCACTGTATGACATAATTGTTCTGGTGTCCCACAGTGCTCATCAAAACTATACCTGTAAGGAAGTGGTATATAGCATTTTACTCCTGTTAATATTTCACTCCTTTTATTCCTATATCAAAATCGATTCAGCTTCCCATGACAGTTGTCTCGCTGTAATAATGTTGTGAAATATTCAAATCAAATACTGCCTGATTTCTTAGCATGCAGAGACGGAGGATGAAAAACGTTTCAGAAATCTCAAGAAATTTTGTAATTGGAATTCGTTCAAAATCTGAAATAAAGTATGGTAAAGTGAATCTGGCCATGGTTGCACTTTGGGAGGAGACTATATCAAATGATGACGTCACCTTAATTTATAAAACAGGTAGAGTATATATACCATATAAGAAAACTGGTGTAAATTACAGTACGACGTTTCATCCCAGCTGGCGTCCCTCAAGGCACAAAGCTCGGCCCGTGGTGATTTTGTATTATGATTGATTGTCTAAGTGTTAAGGACGTTAATGATTTATCATGGAAATATGTTGACGACTCATCCTTGTCTGAATCAGTTTGTAGCGATGGCTCAAGTAACTTACAAAAGTACGTAGATGAATTTAACCTGAAATCAACAGCCGATGGCTTTCAGATAAACGAATCAAAATGAAAAGAGTTTTGAATAAGCGTTGCACCGTCCATACGTGAGTTCCAGCCAATTACTAATCCTTTTCTACTCCACCTGTATTCGACCAGTCATCGAGTATGCGTGCCAAGCATTTCACGCCTCATTACCCAAATATCTGTCTGATGATCTTGAAAGACTTCAGAAACGAGCTTTTCGAATAATATTCCCAGAACAACACTACAAAGGAGCATTCAGGAACACGAACATCCCATCACTTTACGATAGAAGACAGGAATTAACAACAAAACTTTTTAAGGACATAACCTTGAGCACAAATTAACGGATTTGTTACCGCCATTAAATGAAGACAATAGCCACTTTTTGCGTAAAAATAGGAAATTGAACGTGCCACTTCATAAAACGAACAGATTTAGGAACAGTTTTATCACTTATAACTCTAATAAGTTTTCTGAATAACTTAAAAACTGTTTTTACCATGAATATGCTGGTTTTTTAACCTAATTTATAACCTAATTTATAACCTAATTTTAGCCTAATTTTTAACCTAATTGTAGCACTATTGAGTGTTTTAGTAACAAATTATAAGTTTGCGCATATGTGTATGTGAATGTGTATTTTCAAGAATTTTTAGTCTAATCTTATTCATTTTCTTAACAAAATACTTGTAAGAATTAGTCTATCTTTCTTAATATCTTTGTAAACCTAACATATTTCAGCAGTGGAATTAGATATATTCTGGAGCTGTAAGTTTAGTGTCAAATAAACTATCAAACTATTAAACTATTCATATATTGCGACAGTGTTTTAGTTCTACCTTTAATTTCTTCAAATTTCTATAGAATTTGGAAGTTGTCGATTTGGTTGGAACGAATATGGTGCATCATGTTACCAGTTTAACTTCGATAACAAAGATTTCAAATCTGCGTCCACACAATGTCAGCGTTCTGGCGGAGATCTTCTTTTTATTGATTCCAATGTTGAACAAGGGTTTATCACTACTCAGGTCAAATATGATTCGTGGATTGGTAAGTTTTGATCCATTGCTTAATTCGATCCAGCTTAAATTTAGCACGCGCATGTTTGAGCCAATTACTTACATTCATTACCAGGGCCCTTACATATAGGGCGGTGCAACGCGCTGATTGATGTGCGATGCGGAAAAGGACTGGCACGGGCGTGCTTTTCGGCAAAAGTTGACAAGGGGGCGTGATTTTTCCTGTTGTTGTACTTTTTCAGTTTTTCAAAATTTTTGAGGATGTTTTTGCACTGTAACGACGAAGTGGTAACTATAGTGTAGCGTATGAATGCTTGTTTGGCCTATATAGTTGAACTTTAAAAGAAGTATTGATGATTCGTATTGGTCATTTTCGGCCGACCCTTGTTTGAACTCGGACGTGTTTTTATTAGCTCCGCTATTAATCGTTATATTTACTCAAATTCTCACAAAATATAGCTGTAGATCTTCGATCTAATTTAAAGGCCAGTGGAGAAAAGTTCTACTGGGATAGTACATTAGTTAAATTGAAGGAATTTGTCTCAAAGGAATTAAGAGGAGATTTTTTTGTATGTTACGTAACATGCACTAAATCAACATGAATCTGTATCACATATACAGATACGACACGCTTATGATTTTTCTTTGTGTTTTCTTCATGAATTATTAATGAGTTTTTTAATAGTTATTTTGAGAACGAGGGATGCAGTTAGCAGATTAGCACTGATTAGATCAAATTCTCATACTACAGGTAGCTCTATATTTTAGTGGATACGCGAAATACGTGGATACGCAGTCAAGTAGTTATTTTGAGATTAAGGCATAAAGTTAGTTAGCATTAATAGATTAGATTCTCATGCTATTCAGAGCTTAAATGTGGTGTAATATGTAAATATGTTCCTCACAACCGGACGTTGGTGTTTGACAGATTATGATTAACTAGCGTCGCTGGGAGAAAAAAATTTATATTATAAAGCATACTAAGCATAATATTAAACATTAAAAGTCTTGCATGATGTTTCCTTTATAGTATCAATTCGTAATATTGTCTTAGTAATTAGTTTGTGTATATTAGAACCAGGCAATAAGATCTGGTATATACGTATCCACTAGCAGTGAAATGTGGCCGGGCTACATGATATGATATCACTAGTGTACGGGTATTCTGCAATACTTCCATTTGTGGAAAGTGGTTTTGATGGTCGCTTTGAATCTTCCAATATTTCCTTGTACGCTAGTTATCTTATACTGATTCTGCTCAATTGGGATGGTATACAGGGTGTATAAAAAAATGGTAATCGAACTTCAGCGCGCTATTGTATCCGAATTACTCAGCGTATGAACGAGATTTTAACACATTCGGAAAGATCATGCTTTTAGCTGTTGAATGATATTTTCTTCATGCCAAATGGATAAAAAATGAGCGAATACGAATCCGATAAAAAATGTTAGTCAGAATCGCATATTTTCACCGTCGAGAGTTGGTACTTAAGTTGATGAATTTCACTTCAATAAACGACGCACATATTCATAATTATTGTAAGTAGGAATAAATCTTAGCTAAGCTACGACACGTTAGTGATTAATTGCTTTTTCTTTTGTTATGCATTGTTTTAATTAGGCACAGAGGTGAAAATATGCGATTTTGACTAGCATTTTTGATCGGCCTCGTACTTGCTTATTTTTTCTCCACTTGGTATGAAAAGCATGTCATTCAATAGCTAAAAGCCTGATCTTTCCAAATATAAAAACCAATTGTTCATACGCCGAGTGATTCACATATAATAGCGCGCTGAAGTTCGATTACCTTTTTTTTATACACCCTGTATAGTTTTAACTCGCAATAACAGTTCTTGAGTATTTTCGAAACCAGAAAAACAAAGTTTTTAGATTTGCTATAGCATCGCAAAGCAAATCTTTCTACAAGTGGTCGAAGACTGGAACAACGCGGAATGATGGACATATGGTATACCAGTGGGTTATGCAGGGTAAGAAGGGATCGATCGATAACGCGCGGAGGCCTGGACGCGGATCAATGATGCGTCCGACTATCAATATCACATTAGCTAGAAATTCGACTGAGACAAACGAATTGTTTAAGATTCTGACATCTATTTGAAAGTTCAGTCGAAAATCAAGGCAGCAATACAGAGAGATGTCAAGACCTGTTTTGAACTTGGACCTTCATTATGAACGTGCATGCATAAATTTAAGTTAATGTTATTTATGTCATCGCCACGCGGGGACATCGCGCGTGTGAAGACATGGTTTTGCAGAGACAAAACAAAATATGCTTTTAAGATTTATGAGCGAAGTTGTAAGCCAATAAAGATACCTTTTCATTGTTGTTAATATTGCATTCCTGTCAAACCGCCGTCTAAAACAGCTGGTCCTTCGTCCCGGCTTAAGAACTACTTTGAAATGCCAGTAGAAGTGGGAATTATCGAGAAACTTCGATCGAAGAAAAAAGTCGCCAAGTCAGCCATTACAAGGAATGTAAATCGCGTTAGGAAGCTAGTAAACAACAAAGAAAGCGTTTCTAAGGTACGTCAGTATGCTAAAAATATTAAAGAAGCTAGAGAAAAGGCTCGGATTGTAATAAACGAACTTGAAAAAGCCGATCCATCATCTATTGTAGCCGATGGCGAATTGCTTGTAGATGTCGAGTGTGATGTGACTGATGCCCTAGGGGAAGTAGCTGATTATTTGCAAGAATCAAGCCCCCTAGTGAAAACTCTACAATTATATCAGGGAACAGTCGTTCTAGTGGTCTTAAAGGGGTAAAGATTCCAGTGTTTGATGGAAGTCCAGAAAAATGGCCATATTTTTTGGGTATATTCAGTTCACTCGTGGACAATAATAAGTCTCTTTCTGATGCGATAAAACTAGCACATTTGAACAATTTTATCAACGATAGCTAGAGTGAGAGAAGTTATTGCCTGTTTGACCGGGGAACCGGGTGACTACCAGAAGGCAGTTAAGTTGCTTAATGATAGATATGGGGACCCCCGTGAAGTTGTAGATGCACATTTGCACCGCATTACCAATTGGCATAATATTAAGGAAAAGTATCGCGATGCATTTTAGCGATTTGCTGACGCCTTACAAGCAGCAGTATTTGCCTTAGATAAGCCAGATTATAGACATGAGTTAAGTAGCATGCCTCTTTGCACTCAGTTCGCAAGCTACCGCCCAGTGAGAAAGATGAGTGGGTGCGGCAAGTAGAGCGCAAACAAGTCACTGAAAATGTTAAGGGATTAGCAGAGTATGCCCAATTGGGAGTAAAGTCATTGCGCAAGCGTGATTGATATAACACACCTGCACCACCCAAAGAGGACCCAAAGTTTAACCCAAAATTTGCACGTAAGAGAGCCTATCTAGCAAAAGCACAGGCTGGGAAATGTTCTGGGAAGCATAAAAAGGGGGATTGCCCAGTGTTTCTAGCCGCTGACCGTAACGGCCTAACCAACGATGGGCACTAGTTAAGTCGGAAAAGGTGTGTTTTGGGTGCTTACAATTAGGACATCAGCGCCGCCAATGCATTGTTTCATCCAAGTGCGGAGTCAATTCATGCGAAAAGGGGCATCACAAGCTGCTTCATGCCTTGCCGAAGCCGCCTACAGGCGATGAAGCCTCTGAGCCTAAGGGTGTTCACTGTAGCAAAGCACAAGTTTCATCCTCAGGCTCTAGTAGAGTTGCCCTAAAAACTGTCATAGTACCCTTTGTTAAGGATTCGGGGGGATTAGTCCTGGGAACTGTTCTTTTAGATTCTGGTAGTGAAACAACCCTCATTAGGTCTGGATTTGCCAAACAATTAGGGGTTCAAGGTCAAAGGCAAAACCTCACTGTTGATACTGTTGGAGGAGTGCGGACCACCCTCAAATCTCAGCATGTTCGTGTCCCGTTTGCACCAGCGGTCACTGATATTGATGTTGATGCATGGACTATGAAAAACATATGCGAACCCGTGCAGTCGGTCGATTGGACGGAGATAAAGAAACAATATGAACATTTGCGTGATGTTCCAGTCATGTCGGTAGGAGAAACAGCAGTGGATGTGTTATTAGGACTTGATGCAGCATCCTTGATGGCGCCATTGGAAGTGAGACCGGGAAAGCATGGTCAGCCATGTGCAGAGTTGACCCCACTTGGTTCAGTGGTTAGGTCATTTCGGGTCCAGGGCCAACCACTACCAAACCAATGAAACGTATCTTACGTGTCCATGTGGTAGATGGTGAGGACGATGCCAATCACCAGTTGCGAAAGTTATGGGAGATAGACAGTTTCGGTGTTCGTGTCGAGGCAACCACATCATACTCGCGTAGTGAACAGCGAGCTGTTGATATAATGAATGAACATGTCGTCGATTGGTGTCGGGTTATGTGCTGGGACTGCTATGGAAAGCTGACAGACCGCCACTGCCTAACAATTTCAAGTCAGCCCTTAGCTGCCTGGAGTCGGTGGAACACCGTTTGCAGAAGGATCCCAAGTTAGCGGACGGTTATTGCAAAGCCATCACTGCATACGTGAAGAAAGATTTTGCACGAAAGTTGTCGCCTGAGGAATTTGCTATGGACAGAGAGCAATGGCTACTGCCACATCACCCCGTAATCAATTCACACAAGCCACTGCCAAGAGTTGTTTTCGATTCCGCTGCCAAACACGACGGTGTTTGTCTCAACGACTGCCTTGAGACGGGGCCAAGTCTTCACAATGATCTTCCGGGCATTCTGTTACGATTTCATGAAAGGCCCATCGCACTTGTGGGAGACGTGTCAGATATGTTTTGCCATGTTCTCGTCAAGGAGGAGGACCGCAAGTATCACCGTTACTTGTGGCGTGATATGAATTCAACAAGACCGCCAGACGTTTATGAAATGAACTGTTTGGTAATTGGTGACAAGTCCTCACCCTGTGAAGCGAATTTCCCAGTTATCCGCAGGACGGAAGACAACCAGGATCAATGGCCAGAAGCTGCAGCCACAGTCAGGCGAGACATCTTCGTGGACGACTTCTACAGTTCCTGCAATGATGCCATGATGTGCCGCAGGCAGTTTCCTTGAGAGCTGATGTCTCATCCCTGATGGCTAAGGGTGGTTTTCCTACGCGAAAGTGGCTATCCTCTTCACCGGAAGTGCTGGTAACGATACCGGAAACCGAACGGAGTATCTCGAATGAAAACTTACAGCTAGGTGAGTTGCCAACTGGTCAAGCATTGGGAGTTCGGTGGGATGCACGATCAAACACTCTAGGACTCACTTATGTACATGTTGAACGTCCATCCACCCAGTCGACCAAACGCGATATTCTAGCCAAATTAGCTGGCCTATATGATTCACTGGGATGGTCGAGTCCATTTACGGTACGTGCAAAAATCACCCAGCAACGCACATGGTCCAGAGGACTAGATTGGGATGAACCCTTACCAGCCGACATCACATCTGAATGGGTTAAGTGGGAATCCGAGGTCGCAGCCTTAAATGCTTTCGCAGTACCACGGTACATTTACAGTCTGTCATCAGAAACATTGACGAGAGAGCTTGTGGTTTTCTGTGACGCCTCGGAAGATGCCTGCGCAGCTGTCGCCTACATGCGTGCAGTACTTGTGGACGGTAAAGTCATATGTCACCTAGTCATGGCGAAGACACGCCTCATGCCATTGAAAACGATCTCCATTCCCAGAGGAGAGCTGATGGGCTGTCAGCTAGCTGTGCGTCTCGCAACAGTTAGGTTTGAGTATGCTTCATGTTACATTCATGTCCTGTTCAACCACGGCGATATGGTGGATCCACGGAGAGCCGCGAAATTTCCAACCATTTGTTGTGAACCTAGTAACCGAAGTGATTTCGGAGAGTGATCCCGGACAATGGTATCACGTAAGAACGGATCTGAATGTTGCTGACATTGCAACAAGGGGAGTCGCCGCCAACGACCTTAAGCCAGAATCACGAAGGATAAACGGTCCAGATTTCCTAAAGTCCGAAAAGTCAGAGTGGCCCATCGATGACATTCCTGGCCCACCTTCTCCAACCGCCCAGAGGGAGATGAAGAAGAAAGTGTTAGGAGCAAAGGTGGTTGTGCCAAAGCTTCTTGACCCAGCCGGCTATTCCAATTGGCTCAAGCTTGTTCGCGTTACCGCATGGATTCTGCGGTTCTGCCATAACCTGCGTAAGAAAGATCGGCGGAACGCGGAAGTTTTAAGTGTCGAAGAATTGGAGGAAGCTGAGCTGAATTGGATCAAGTCTGCACAACAAGATCGTTTTGGAGTTGAAATCGAGTCATTGTCGAAAGATCGTCCTGCCGGCCAGCTAGTCGGATCTAAAATGGTTTGAGTCATATTTAACAAATAGATTTAACATCTAAAATGGTTTGAGTCATATTTAACAAATAGAGAACAGCAATGTAATGTTAATGGAGAATTATCTAGTAATAAAATTATCACCTATGGAGTGCCCCAGGGATCTATACTGGGACCACTGCTATTCCTATTATATATTAATGATTTGCCCGATTGTTTGAAATCAACTAATCCATGCATGTACGCGGATGATACTCAAATCTTTTCATCTTCCTACGATGCAAATGAACTTGTTGTAAATTTAAATTCAGATCTTGCCCATGTCTGTAACTGGCTTAAAGAAAATAGGCTGCAGATGCATCCATCAAAATGTAAAATGATGTTTATTGGCTCCCCGTATAATCTTAATAATATAATGTGTGAGGAACCCGTTGTGGCTAATGCAAAACCCATATCACGAATTGCTACACAAATGTGCCTAGGAGTAAAACTAGATGAAACCCTTAATTGGGATAGTCACATTGAAATGATATGTAAGAAGGCGAGCGCTGCTATTGGCGCTATGAAACGTATAAAGCCCTTTGTTCCAATGCATACCTTAGAATCGATTTATAAAAGTTTTGTGCAGCCCTACTTTGATTATTGTTCCCCCCTTTGGGACACTTGTGGTAAGTTGCTAAGAGACAAGTTGCAAAGATTTCAGTCTCGTGCAGCAAGAGTCCTAACGGGTGCTAATTATGATACTCGCTCAGCTGATCTTCTCAACATGCTTTCTTGGGATACATTTGAAAATAGGCGGTCTGGTGCCAAGTCAGTATTAATGTATAAAATACTTAACGACCACACTGCGCCAGGTCTCCGGGGGTCATTCGTGAGAAGAGAAATAGATCAAACTAATTATCATCTTCGAAACACAGCAACTGATCTAACAATTCCTAAACCGAAACGAGAATTTCTTAAAAAAAGTTTTAAATATAGCGGCGCTATGCTCTGGAATCAACTCCCAAACGAAGCAAAATTGGCCGAGTCGCCTCATTCGTTTAAATCAATTGTTGGACAGCGACATGCTTCCTAATTATTTGTATATAGTTCCTTTTAATGATTTTTAAGATCTAGACACGCCCCCCATGGAAACCAGCCTAGAGTTGATGGGGCTAGCGTGTTCTTCTTTCTGTTAATTTTAAATAAAGTATTACCTACCTACCTACCTACCTCAATCCACAGTTGGTGAATGGAGTCTTACTTGTTGGGGGGCGTATTGACAAAGCCGAACTGCCGTGGGAAGCAAAGCATCCCATCATATTAGATCACGGACACGACATCACTCGTCTGATTGTCATCCATTACCATCGGAGACTGATCCACGCCGGAGTTGAGCATGTATTGAACCATTTACGTGAGAAGTATTGGATTCTACGCGGCCGTTCGGAAGTCAAGAATTGCACCGTCAAATGCCCATTATGTCACCGACGTCGCATCCAACCCCTAACAAGGAGAATGAGCAGCCTACCATCTACACGCCTTGCCGGTGTTAGTGTCCTGTTCCAGAATGTCGGACTGGATTACGCCGGACCGTTTTCTGTCCGTATTGGTCGTAACCGAATCGAGAAGCGTTACATTTGCTGTTTACGCGTATGCACATGCGTGCCGTGCACCTCGAAGTAGCCCGCAGCCTTGAGGCGGACTCGTTCATAATGGCCTTACGACGTTTCCTAGCACGGCGTGGAAACCCGGTCCGCATTTTGAGCGACAACGGTACCAATTTCGTAGGCGCCGAGCGTGAGTTACGAGAATCCGTTCTTGAAATCGATCAAAAACGAGTCGCTGACGAACTTAGTGCACGAGGCGTACTTAGTGCACGAGGTGAATTTTCATTCCACCTGCTGCTCCCTGGTTTGGTGGAGCTTGGGAGTCTTTAGTTAAGTCCACAAAAAGAGCCATGAAAGTGATTATGGGTAACGTCGTCACGGTGGACGAAGTTTTTCTTACATTAGTCGCGGAAGTAGAGTCTCTTCTAAATTCTCGGCCACTTGTGTATGGAGGAAGCAGCACGTCAGCGACAGATGTGAGTGTTCTAACGCCAAATCATTTTCTCCACGGACGTGCAAGTGCTAATCTAATACCGAGCGAATTCGTCAAGCGTTTCTAGCCGACCAGTTCTGGCGACGGTGGAGGCAGGAGTATGTGCCGCATTTGATTAAACGCAGCAAATGGCGTACGATACAGCGAAATCTTTGGCGAGGGGATCTAGTATTTATCGTGGAGGACAACGTTCCGAGAGGTCAGTGGCGTCTAGTACGGGCTGTAGCGCCGATCGCAAGTGCGGACGGACTCGTGAGATCAGCTGAAATTTTGACGATAGCCGGAACCTACGTTCGTCCAGTTGGAAAGTTTGCGTTGCTGGAAGCCCATCACGAAGAAGAGTGACGTTTTCCCCGGGTTCACGCCACGAACAGGGGTGTTTTGAACTTGGACCTTGATTATGAACGTGCATGCATAAATTTAGGTTAATGTTATTTACGTCATCGCCACGCGGGGACATTGCGCGTGTGAACACATGGTTTTGCAGAGACAAAACAAAATATGCTTTTGAGATTTATGAGCGAAGTTGTAAGCCAATAAAGATACCTTTTCATTATTGTTAACATTGCATTCCTGTCAAGCCGCCGTCTAAAACAAGACGGCTTCAATAATTCGACAACACCAAAACAAGCATGGATGCCACTTCAGGTAAAAAGGCTGAATACAGCTGGTTTATTATGCAATGACCAAGAGTCGTTTGAGATAGCTGACGAAACCAACTCGGGGGATAGCATGCTTGAGAATATTGAGAATAACAAGTTTGTTATTACTGATAATTCATTCTAAGGTTGGTGCCGATATTGGTGCAATGAGACGCGTTAAACCTGTTGGACCACTGTCGACAACCAAAATGCTATATAACGCTATTATACAGCCTTATTTCGATTATTGCAGCCCGTTATGGGATAATTGCGGAATGGGGCTCAAAGATAGGTTGGCGGCCAAAATACCAAAGTCGAGTAGAGAGCAAGAGTAATTACTGGGGCAACGATATTCCGTCATCTGAGTTACTCGATAATCTAAATTGGAGACCTCTCCAAGAAAGACGAAATTATCTTAAATCTAATTTCATCTATAAAATTCTGAATGGCCACAATGGTTGCGGACCCAGTCTTAAAGAAACATTTCAATTTAATAACGAAAGACATAATACATACAATCTTAGAAATAGGGGTACTGATTTAGCACCACCCATGCCGAAAAAAGAATTCGGCAAGGGGTGCTTCAGTTATAATGCATGGCGCCTTGCATTGGAATAATCTTCCCCATGAGGCAAAAATTGCTGATTCCTTAAGCTCTTTACGGCTCGATTTTATCTTCTTCTGTAACTTCAAATGTAAGTGTTTCATAAACTGCAATCGCTGCTTCGCCAGCCAGGATAAAAAACGTTGCACACTGTATTTTCTGCGACTTTTTTGTCTTTCTCTCATTGGCGGTCATGTATAGCTCCAAGGCTTTCTTCCAACGACGCCAATTTATAGCTGCATTTCCATCGAATTTCAACGGTTTTGGGGCTGTAATTTCTTCTGCCATTTCGGATTCTTGTATCTTTGATTAAAATCCATTTTCTGACACCATCTATAACTTTTTATATTTTATTCCTCTTATATGTATATGTAAATTTATATATTGTCTTCCCCGAACACATGTACAATAACAATCGTCTTAGTCTTTCAGTTAATTATTACCCCCGAAGGTCCATGCCTAATAGCCTGCAAACAGGCTTGCTATTTACGAGTATCATTTCAATGTAACTAATAAATGTCAATATCACACCACCCCCCCCTTTAAAAGTATTATGTGTATTTTTCTGGAGGTCTTCGAATTCTTTCTGGATATCTTCTCTCTGGTTGCATTTCCTCTTCTCTGCTGTCAGATTCACTGTCCTCACTGGTACCCAGTGCTGGGTGTACGACCCCATTCTTCTTTGGTGGATTCCTTGACTTTGGTTTCTTGACAGGTCGAATCTGATAAGGTTTAAGGTAATTGTAATGGACAATTTCTTCTTTAGTTCCATTATTCCTTCTCACCACATAAGATGTTTTGGTTACCGACGTGGGCTTTACCACGACATAGGGTCCCGTCCACCGATCTGCAAATGTTTTTGCTCGTAAATTTCTTTTCCAAACTTGTTCACCCACCCCCAACGATTTAAACGAAGTTTTACTGTTGTACCGTTCTCTGCGTTTTTCCGCTAACTTGGCATCGGACTCTTGTGCTTTTTGGAATACCTCACTAACAGTCTCGCGCAGTCGTTCCGTTTTCTCTCTAACCGTTACTGGTGATATCTTCTCTGTTATAATTTCGAATTTTGATCGCGGGTGCTCCTTGAAAACTAGTTCGTACGGCGAAACTCCTGTACTTGTATGAACTGCCGTGTTGTATGCTAGTTGTACGTCAGGTAGGTGTTGAGACCATCGGTTGGGATGTTTATCTACCAATTTTGTGAGTGCTTCCCCCATCGTACGATTAATCCGTTCTACACCCGCGTTTCCTTGTGGCCTATAGGGTGGACTGAAAGTATGCTCAATGCCTTGCGTTATGCAAAACTGTTCAAATGTTTCGCTTATGAAACAAGGTCCATTGTCAGAGTGCACTTTGTTTGGTAAACCATATCTTGATATCCAACCCATGAGTGTCTTACAAACAACTTGACTGGTTTGTCCTCGAATTGGATGCATCTCTGCATATTTTGTACATGGATCTGTTATCACAACAATATTGTAAAATCCCTCTTTCGTTCTCGGTAATGGACCCTTGAGATCTACTTCTATCAACGCAAATGGTTTCTCTTCTTTTGGTCGTTGATGAATGGGTGCTTTTCTATGTCCCTGGGCAAGAGTAGCAGCACAGCGTTGGCACGTTTTTGCATAGTTCTCTACTTCTGCTTTCATCTTTGGCCAAATAATGAGGTTCAATTCTTGCAAGCATTTTATCTGCTCCTTGGTGCCCTGTTTCGTCATGAGCTAATGATAATATGGTGGGAACAAGCGATGCTGGAAGTAACACTTGCTTCTTATGATCTCGTGTGAATAAACCATGTTCGTTTCGGTGAGTAGAAATATGTGGCTTAAGGGTTGGGTCACGTTCTTGCGCAATTGGAAATCATTTATGTCCAACCTTACATCCTTGCATGGACCAATCTCGTCTTGAGAGCCACCAATAGTAGCCACTTTACTAGTATCCTCATCTCTCTCTTCCCACTTGACATTCCATCAGATCCGACTAAGAGCATCTGCCATGTGATTATCCTCCCCTCGAATAAACTCTATGCGTGGTTCGAATTCTGCTATATCTCTCATCAATGTCGCTCTTCGTCCAAATGGATCTTTCTGTTCCAGGATCTTTAGAAGAGGTTTGTGGTCGGTCCTCATCACTACTTGTGCTCCTAACAGATAATACCGAAAATGCTTAAGCGTGTCTCGCATAGCCATCACTTCTCTGTCATAAGTTGGATATGAACGTTCTCGTTTGGTCAATGCACGACTGAAATATGCAACCGGATGTAATTGTCCTTGTGCATCTTCTTGTGATAGTTCACCACCCAGACCCACTTTACTTGCATCCGTGGTAACAACAAAAGGTCGAGTGGGGTCAGGATGGGCTAATACTGGAGCTTTAACCAACTCATGTCTTAGTGTATTGAATGCATCATCTTGCTCCTTACCCCAAGTGAATGTGACATCTTTCTCCAAAAGCCATGTTAATGGTCGAGCAATTGTACTAAAATCCTTGATAAACTTCCGATACCACCCAACTGCACCCAAAAACATTTGCACCTCTTTAAGACAAGTTGGTGCAACCCATGCACGAATTGCCTTTACTTTATGTTCCTCTGGCTGCACACCCTTGTTGCAAACTTTGTGTCCAAGAAATTTCACTTCTTTCATTGCGAAAGCACATTTCTTAGCTTTAACTCGTAATCCATGCTGTCGCAATGCATCAAATACTCCCTGGAGATTTACTAAATGTTCCTCAAACGTTTTGCTAATAATACAGATATCATCCATGTACAATGCCAACCGATGTGGTGGAATGTGTCCTAGAACCTTCTGCATCAACCGAGAAAAAGTTGCCGGACTTCCTTTTAAACCATATGGCATTCTTGTCCATTCCCAAAACCCAGTAGGTGATCGAAACGCTGTCTTTGGTCGATCTTCCTTGGCCAGTGGGACCTGCAAATAACCTTGGGCCAAGTCAATAACACTAAAATAGTTAGCACCTGATAGATTGTCTAGAACCTCTTGCAAATTTCCAGTTGGATATGGGTCATTCTGGGTAATTTTGTTAAGTGGTCTGTAGTCTACACACAATCGAACTGTTTTATCTGGTTTCAATACAGGTACAATTGGAAATGCCCAAGGGGACTTAGAGGGTGTCAAATGTCCCGACTTTACATGGTTTCCTACTGCTTCATTATTTTTTTGTGTTAACCCCAGGTTGTGTCGTCTGGGGTGGCACACAATTGGATCAGATACGGCTGTGGGTATTGTGTGCTCTATTGTTGTGGTGAACCCACTGTTTCCTGGGTAGTCGAAAACTTGTGTATTTTTTCGAATTAAAATTTCTAGGTTTTCTCTTTGTTGTGTTGTCAATTGTTCACCAACTGATACTTCTGGGACTGGGTCATATTGTGATGATGGATTATTTCCCCCCATATTTGACTCTGAAATATGTGCTATGTTGTGGGTACTTGACAGTTCCTGAATTGTGGCCGCAGTTTGTTCTCTATAAACTCTGATTGATTTATCAGTAGTATTCAGTACACATATGGGGATTTTACTTTCATCGTTCATCATTTCTGCCGAAATCTTTATCGGGGCTGTAAGAAGCCCAGTTCTCTGCTGAAAATGTTCCGTACCTTCGATATACGAATCTCTAGTAAATTTTTCATTCTTATTTTCCAATTTACCCCAAATGAATATTTCTTCAAATGGCTTAATATCACGACTTTCCGCAACTCGTATGTGGCAACACTTTAGCATTTCTGAGGGGTATCTACTTCCGGTTGTAACACGGGTTGGGCCCCATTTATTGTTGCCAATTTTTTTCTTGTGTTCAACGATACACCCAATTTTCCCAAAGAGTCCAAGCCCAGAATCCCGTTTTGAACACCACTTACCACAAAAAAACTCAATATACAACTATTTGTCCCTACCGTAACTGATGTTTGAACCACACCTCTGCATTCTGCGTGTGTCCCATTAGCCATCTCCACGTGACGTGTAGTTGGTTGAATTTTCATGTAATGTTCTTGTGCTAACGCCGTTGGAATAACTGAAACCTCTGCTCCAGAATCACAAATAAACTCATGCTTGAATTCTCTGCTTCCAGACTGAACCACTGTACCAGTTAGTGTAATAAATTTCTTCGCGGCTGAGAACGAATTTATTTTTGCTGACGATTGTTCCCAGCCGCCTTGGAGTTTAAAGACGGCGAAGGGCGAGGGCTTGTAGCATGGCAAGATGGTGCTGTATGGCCCTTTTGCCAGCAGCGTTGACAAAGATCTTTAAATGGACAGTCTTTCCGAAAATGTTCAGGCGACTGGCAGTGGAAACACGCTTGATTTTTACCGGTTTTGGCGGGAAATTTCCTAGGTTTTGGCGGGAAATTTTTCTTTCCAACGAACCCGACCGTACGTTTTGTTTCGTCCTCCGTTTCCCGACTTCCATCGTTTTCTTTGGATAGGGCGGCTGCTACCTCTTCTCTGATTATCTTTCTTAACGATATTTCGTCTGCTTCCCCTGTCGTTTTGAAATTGTTTACTTCGAGGTTTACTTTTGGTACTGTTGTTTTATAAATTAGCTCGAGCCGATCTAATTCTTCAGAAAGTTGTGTTAAATTTAAATCTCGATGTTTACTGTCGCTCTTTATCTTTCGACTCATTGCATTGTCAATAGCTCCCAAAAAGGTATCATGTAACATTTGTTCCTTTGTTTTCTTTGCCGATCCGTGTGTTGACGCGCATAACTCCGGGTAAGCCTTCGCCATCAACTTTTCGATTCTCCACGCTAACTGTGCTGGTGTTTCACCGCCTTTCGCCTTAAACCTCGTAATTCGTCGACAGCTTTCTCGTGGTCGATCGATTCTTTGTCGAATTCCTTCCTTAAAGCGGCTTTAACTTCTTTTGGGTCATCTTGAAGTTCATCGTTTAATCTCGCAATACATAGAAACGCCGCCCCCTCGAGTTTACTCGCTATGGCGTGAGCTTCTTGTTTACCTTCAAATTTCTTTGTAGAACAATAGAACTTCATTTTCATAAGCCACAAATCTACATCTCCCGTACCGTCATAACTGGCTTGTTTTATTTCTGCCATTTCCGACAATTTAAAGCGAGAATCACCGCTGCCACCACTGTAAATTTATATATTGTCTTCCCCGAACACATGTACAATAACAATCGTCTTAGTCTTTCAGTTAATTATTACCCCCGAAGGTCCATGCCTAATAGCCTGCAAACAGGCTTGCTATTTACGAGTATCATTTCAATGTAACTAATAAATGTCAATATCACAGTATAAATTTTACTTTATAAACTTTATAAATAGTCAACTCGCTCAACGTTCACTCTGCGTTCCATGTCACGTGATATCCTTACAATTGGCAGGTGTGTTGCTGATTATATTTTTAGCTTACGCATGTTTTAGTGTATGTATACAACTAAACCGTCTCTTTGAATGCTACGATTAAGTCTTGTTCTAATATAGCTATTTCATATGAAGACGTTAAAATCCTTAGTCCTAGTTTCAATCACGGCCAAATTTCTGCAAATCACCTCTAGCGGTAGTCCAAGCAACTAAAGCCCGTACCGGCTAGCAAGTTTTGTTTGACAAGTTTTCTTTGCTCGTGTGTACGTCAAAAATTGACAATATTTCTTTTCAAGGAACATTGTTCAGAAATGTTCCAAAGCTAGTCATTTCCTTTTGGACAAGGAAAATGTTTTCGTTTGGAGGGCCGTGTATACGGGGCTTAACGATTAATAATAACGTCTTGTTGTAGTAAATATACAGCCATTTCAATTAAGGTTGTCCTCCAAGCAAAGCGCAAAAGTCGAATACGAGCGCGAAAGGCTGTTGAGATTCGCTAATAAATCGAATCCCAGCAGCCTTTCGCGCTCGTATTCGATTTTTCCGCTTTGCTCGGGAGACAACCTTAATTGAAATAGCTGTATATATACTAAAACGTCTAAAACTGAATTTAATGGAATCGGTGCAGGGACTATACGTATATTCTGACCAGAAATTTGTATGCGGTTAAATGAGAGATGCTGAAAAGAAAGCGTCTTAATAGAACGTTACAATATTGCTTTTTCAAATTTTAGGAGTTTTTAGTACGCAGATAAACGGAACGGGTGAATATATTCTAAAACAGTCTAACATGGATGCTTTGAGATACTCGAATTGGTTCAGCGAACAGCCTGCATACATGAATTACCCAGGAAGATGTGCTATGATACTAGGTCTCGGACAATGGCGAATTCGTGATTGTTTGCATCAATTGCATTATGTATGTGAAAAACAAAAAGGTAAGTGAGTCTGCATGCTTTCTATTTATATTAACACGATATGAGGCCTAAGTTTTTACGTGGTGATTGGGGATGTTACAATATTATTACCCAATTTATTATATACATGACAACATAACTGCAATCTGATTGGTTAAGAGGAGTGCAATTATTTCATTAATTAGACTCTCCAGGAGTGCAATTAATGATTTTCGTGACGGCAATATGGCGGCGAAATGTTTCTTGAAATAATAACAAACGTGGACGAATTTAACTAAATTTTGGTACAAGAATGAGGTTAAAAATCATAGTATAGCAAAAGGAGCCTGTGGGAAATACCCGGAAACAGTTTTAAGAAATAATCTCGGCGGAAAGCATGCAGCGCAACGTGACTATGTAAGTCTGCAATACAATTTATAAAGATTTTCTTACTCTAGAGTATGTTCTTTGAGTTTGAATCATGTCTTCTACCTTAAGCATCACTTAAAAGCGTAATGAATGTTAAAATGTTAAAATACTAAATGTTTAAAATACAAAAAGTTCTAAAAGTTCTAAAAATTCTAAAAATCCCTTTCGACACTCGTTGTATTAATTAGCGTTTACTAGTTTTGTTGTTAGACCTCTTCAGAACCCGCCATTTTGTTTAACCAATCAGATTGTAGTAATTTTGTCATGTATATAATAAATTTGGTAATAATATTGTAACATCCCCAGTCACCACGTAAAAACTTAGGCCTCATATAGTGTTAATATAGGAGACCTAGATTGCTGACTGTAATGTATTCTATGACGCACGCCGCACGCAAACATGAGTATTCAAAATGGCGGCACAACCGGTCAAAAATCATAGAGCGGTATAGGAAAAACCATGTTTTTCGCATTTTACGCCCGCCTACTGTTTATGATCCCGTTTAACCACCTTTTTTTGGGAAGAACTAACTGGTGTGAGGTTTTGGATGAATATTTGTACAATTTAATTATTTCAATAAAGACGAAATAATCGATCGCTAAATGTTTTCTGAAAATCATCACATGGTCGGTTGAGCAGTTCGAGACATTTCGGAGTTGCAGAAATTAAAGGTTTTGGTTCTTTGGGTGCTTTTTTTCTCGAGGATCTCGCGGTTGGGATATATAACAGGGAATAATATTGTGAAGTATTTTGAAGTATAAAACCTATTTTGCTTGATTTACCTGGTCTGCTGGTGCGAGAACTATGATGCTCTGTTTACAAGTGTTTAGTGTGACTTTGATGACCTCCTTGCTGCTGCAGATATCAAGGGATCTCAAGTCTATATGGCCTAGACAGTGAAAAGTGATGAATCAATCAGGATTTTAGAGAGAATTAGTGACAGCAAAAGTTTTCAATGGAAACTAGTTTGAAGAAACTGACTAATTTGTCTGGTATGCATCAAAAACCTTCACAGTATATCTAGTTTTCTCCAAGAAACCTGATTGATTCATCATTGATATAAATAAAAATAGATGGGACAGCATATATTTTCAGCTATTTCTTGGATTGGCCTTCTATTAATTGCTTTCCCTTACTAACCCATTAAGTGTCAGCACTCTCCCCTTGACAAGTAAAATTATCTGGTGTTAGAGTAAAATAATAAAGTAGGGTGCGACTCAATGGGTTAACTGGACCCATGGGCAGATAGGCCAGTTCACCCATTAAGCGCCAGCACTCTCCCCTTGACGAGTAAAATCATCTGCCGTTAGACAAAATAAAATAATAAAGTAGGGCACATCAGGGCACAATGCGACTTAATGGGTTAATATAGTTGTTGGGTGTAAGTTGTTTCTCGCACAATACTGAATATTTGGTTGGCATCCAGTCTGCCCATTTCATTGCTGTTATCTAACTTTTTAGCCGGCTGGGGTTGGTTGTAGGAAATCTAAATAGTGTGAAGGGAAATATGAATTTTTGGTTCACTGATGTGAACAAAACTCAAATTTTTTGACCTTCAACAGGACAAGGACCTCTATGAAAGTTGTTGTCAACATGCATATATATATAAACTCCTAACACAGACATCAAAACAAGAAGTTCTTTTTGGTCTAATGTTCTTTTATTAAAACTGTAAACAGTTTTATATTGTAGCCAACAAGCTCATAACTACATTTGTTCTCATTACTGTATTTACAAATCAAATTGTTTTTATGCTATTAAAAGCTGTCTTATTTTAATAGTCTTACACTATTCTGTTTATATGAAGTATGTTATAGTGTACAAATATACGATATGTGTGTTTCATAGACTTACTTATGGAACGACAAGCGAATACTATCTTTTAAATCCCCACGTCTGGCCTTGCAGTTATACTCAGCACACAATTCAGGGCGAGATTCAAGGCATTCTTTTCGATAAAAAAACAGACTTTTTAGAATAGAATGCCCTAGAATTTTCAGATGAAAATACTGTAGTGTATTTTGGTCGAAATTGCAATGAAAGAACAAAATAAACAGTATAGTAGCTTTTATGATGTAATGTGATATATATATATATATATATATATATACATATATATATATATATATATATATATATATATATATATATATATATATATATATATATATATATATATATATATATATATATATATATATATAACATTACTTGAGAAAAACTGGTAAAAGACCTTTAAGACTGAAGGAATACACAGGAAAAGAAACCAGGCCGGCCGTTTCGCGCCCTTTTGGTCTTTGCCCATTCTTGCCCGGTCGAATTCCAAATTGTAAATTGTACTAATTAGAACAAATATACATCCAAAACTTTCACACCAGTTAGTTCTTCCCCAAAAAGGTGGTTCAACGGGATCGGAAACAGTAGGACGGAGTAAAATGCAAATAACATGGTTTTTCCTTATGTCGCTCTATGATTTTTGACCGGTTGAGCCGCGATCTTGGATTTTCAAATTTGGCGCGCCTCTTCAGCCGAGTCAGCAATCTAGGTCGCCTATATCTATAGCTCTGAAGAGGTCTAACGACGAAACTAGTAAACGCCAATTAATACAACTTGTGTCGAAAGGGATTTTTAGAATTTTTAGAACTTTTAGTATTTTAAACATTTAGTATTTTAACATTTAACATTCATTACGTTTTTAAGTGATGCTTATAGTCTTTATAGCAAACCTTTCTTGGCTAAAATTCGCGAAATTTCAATATATGTTCTAGCTTAAGTTTTGTGCCTTTATGAGTTTATGATCCCAAGTTTATTAATTATGTCATATTGCTTATAAAAGAATTAAAAACTCTTGACAAAATGCAGTTGAATTTTAACTGAGAAAGCGATTTTGTCATGCATATAATAAGTAAATAATCACACGGGCAAGTCGTGCAATTAATGATTAACACTACTCGTCCCGCGTAGTGTTAATCATTAATTGCACTCCTTCCGTGTGATTACTATACAAATATATATATATATATATATATATATATATATATATATACGTGGGTGTCTATTAGCGATAATGCAAAGCTCACTTCCCTTGTGGTCGTTTGAGCACTCTGCGCATGTCTGGATGCGTTGATTCACCGTGTTGTACCACATGCCTTGGTGAGAGCAAGTTCATGGGGAATAAATACGATTGTCTCACGTATCTAGACGTGTACCAAGCTGCACTGACGAGGCGTTGAACGCCGAAACATGCATGTCTGCAGATTGTACTATCTATATATATATATTTATATATATATATATATATATATATATATATATATATATATATATATATATATATATATATATATATATATATATATAATTTCGCTTACCTCAAAATTCCGCAACAGTCTGTTTCATCAGTA